CCCTCTGTCAATATATTTTCTTGTATTTTCTCTTTGTTTGTTTTGGTATATATAGAATATGACAACACATTTCTATTTTGCAAGTTCACTGTATTTTGTTCCAGGATGGTGCATAAATTTCTCTTAGTATGGTTTTCTTTTCTTGTTATTGGTTGTTTGGTTAGGAAGACAATTTGATGATTCATTCCATTAGGAAACAGAAGGAATTTGGGGCCAGTACATTTGAGGCATGATTGTCTCAAATGGAAATTTAAATGCCTGAAAAAAAATTGTTCAATAAATCAAACCACGGCAATGTCTTTTCTGGAATAGGATGTTAGATTATTTTTCTCTTGAGAAAGAGGCAAAAAATTGACTACTATAAAAATCCTCAATCAGCTAAATCAAGTGACAATTTAAACATTTTCTAAGATAATGCTATATACATGTATATTTATAATTTTTATAAACTATAATCAATATTTAGCTATTTTAAAATTTAGCATAGCTGTTTTGCTGACTTGTGTCTTTTTCGGCGTTGTCATCTACTCACTTCTTGATGGGATTATGTGGGGGCAGTTTTGTTGTTGAGTTACTTGTAAATTCTGGATATTAGCCCCCTGTTAAGTGAATAGTTTGCATGTATTTTCCTTCTATCCTGCCAGGTGTTTAGTGACTCAGTTATTTCTTTTATTTTTCAGAAGCTTTTAAATTTTATTAAGTTGTAATTGTCTACTTTAGTTTTTGTTGCCCGTGCTTTTGAAGTCCTAGTCATGAATCCTTTTCTTAGACCTATGTTCATAAGGGTTTTCCCTACATTTTCTTCAGCATTTTTATAGTTTCCGGCTTTCCATTTCAGCCTTTAATCCACCTTGAGTTGGTTTTTGTATATGGTGACAAATAGTGTTCTAGTTTTATTCATGTGCAGATGGCAATTAAATTTTTCCAGCACCATTTACTAAAAAGAGTGTCCTTTTCCTAGTGTATGCCCTTGTTGACTTTGTCAAGTGTAAGTTGGTTGTACGTAAATGGCTTTATTTCTGTGTTTTCTATTCTATTCCTTTGGTTTATATGTCTGTTTTTATACTAGTACCATGCTGTTTTGGTTACTATAGCCTTGAAATATAATGTGAAGTTAGAAAATGTGATGTCTCCAGATTTGTTCTTTTTGTTCAGGTTTGTTTTGGCTATTTGGGCTCTTTTGGGTCCATATGAATTTTAGGACTGTTTTTCCTCATTCTGATAAAAGTGACCTTATTACTTTGATAAGGATTTCATTGATTTTGTAGATTACTCTGGGCAGTATAGTCATTCAGAATGATATATTAATTCTAATCTATAAGCATGGAAAATGTTCCATTTGTTCGCATCATCTAAAATGTCTTTCATCAGTGTTTTATAGATTTCTTGTAGGGAACTTTCACCTCCTTGGTCAAATGTATTTCTAAGGCCTTGTGGGTTTTTTTTTTTTTTTGGTAACTATTGAAAATAAGATTGTTTTCTTGATTTCACTTTCACCTAGTTTATTAATAATTTATAGAAAAGCTATTAATTTTGTATCCTGAAACTTTACTGAATTTATATTTCAAAAGTAATAAATTTTTGGTGGAGTCTTTAGGGCATTTTAGATGTAAGAGCATATCATCAGTGAGCAGAGATAAATTACTTCTTTTCTAATCTAGATGCCATTGATATCTTTCTCTTGCCTGATTGCTCTGGCTAGTATTTCTAGTACTATGTTGAATAAGAGTGGTGGAAGTGGGCATCCTTGTCTTGGTTCAGTTCTTTCCACTTTTCCCCATTCAGTATGGTGTTGGCTTGACTGTGCTATATATAATTTTTGTGCCCAGTTTGTAAGGGTATTTATCATGAATGAATGGATGCTGAATTTTATCAAATGCTTTTTTTGCAATTATTAAGACAATCATATGGCATTTGTCCTTACTTCTGTTTATGTGATATATCAGATTTATTGAGTTGTGTATGTTGAACCATTCTTGCATCCCTGGAGTAAAACTTACCTTATCATAGTGTGTTATCTTTTTAATGTGCTGTTGGATTTGGTTTGCTAGTATTTTGTTGAGAACATTTGTGTCTGTTTGTCTGGTATATTGGTCTATAGCTTTCTTCATTGTGTCCTTGTTTTGCTATCAGGGTGATATTAGCCACATAGAATCAATTAGGGAGAATTCCTTGGTCTTCAATTTTATTTTGAACAATTTTAGGAGTACTTGGGTGCCCTACACAGTGGGTACTCCTTCTTCCTTTTTCTTAATGCCAGAAACTTCCTTTTATGATAGAGACTGAAAATGGGAGAGATTCATTTAGCTAGTTTCCTTGCAGTTAGGTTTGCCATATTAGATGGCCATAGCTGAAGAGAAAGCAAGTGGAGTCATCTACTGGCCTCAGGAGAAGATTGCTTCATAATATATAGGTAGATACATGAGGAAAGTTCTCTTGCCTTTTTGTCTGGCTTTCTTCTTTGAATGTAGTTGTGTTTCAGTGCAATTTTTAGATGTATAGCAGCTATTTTGTGAGCATGATTTGATAAGCCTATGGAATAAGGCCAACTGATCGAGGACTGGTGAATGGAAAGGCCTTATTCTTGATCAGAATTTTTAGTTGCTGAAGCTACCTTAGAGCTCTCTATCTCTAGATTCATTGTTACATTATTCTAATATAAATAGGTTTTTAAATGAGCATAAGCTCAAAATACGTGAATGATCAGAATGGTTTTTTCATAGCTTCTCCTTGACTACAGCACTTCTTAAGGAAGACTCAATTTTCTTTTTAGTTTTAAACCTGTCTGAACCATAGTTTTGAGGCTCATGCATTTATTATGTAGCCTCTATTGTTCATTATTCCCATGTGCATTATTACCAGGATTTCCAGGATATGTGTAATGTGAGTGGGTAATGGAGAACCATCAGAAGTTCTCAAACTAGGGAGAGATGGAGATGCCCTTTCAGAGCTTATCTAGCAGCAGTGTGTTGGGTTAAATAAGAGGGAGCCTGTGGGAAAATGTTAGGATGAGAGCATGCTCCTACACTTCAGTTGTTCAGTCAGTTAAAACCTAAAGAATGCCTGAACTTGTGGGGTAGCCCAGTGAGAGAGATGGAGGTCATTGTGTATGTAGACTCTATTCTTAGCATGTAGGAAATATGGAAAAGCTTCTGAAGGTTTTCAGCCAGAGAATGTAATTTCCATTAACATTTAAGGAGTTCCTACTATGTGCTCTGCTTCATACTTAGCACTAGAAGCAAAACAGTAAGCAAGGCAAAGGCACCTTTGTACTCTCAGAACTTGTACTTTGTAGGGAAAGAGAGGAATAAAAAGGAAATAGTATCTTATGAGTCTAATGATGGAGTATCTACCAAGGTTATGAGACTATAACAAGACCTGATATATACTACTTACCATGTGCCATGTGATGTTCTAACCATTTGACTTACAGTATTTTATTTCATTTTCACAAAAACCAAAGGAAAGAGGTGCTGTTATTACCATCCCTATTTTAGCAATTTTGAACCTGAAGCACAGAAAGTTTAAGTAACTTTTAAGTTAGTTGTTACCTTCCAACTCTCAGCAGGATCCCCAGGTAGAAATTTCCAGGAGGTGTTTAGAAGTAAAAAACATTAGAAGGAAGAGAGGAATTGAAAAGAAAACTGAGATATCTTGAGAAACAGCAACTGTAATTCTTGCAAGAATTAAGATAAAAATGAAATGTAGAAAGCATGGAGGTAGAACATATGGAAAATTTCCATTTAGGAAGTAGAAAGACAGAGAGAAAGATTTCCCATCAGATATAAAGATGATGAAGAGATGGGAGTTTATTTTTGGCTCTGCCTTGGGGGATGTACAAGCCCAAGGGTGAAGAGAAAACTTGAGTAAAACCCTGAGTCCCTGAGGGACTGCAGATCATGGTTCAGGGTATAAGTACTATCCCCTATTTCCCTTTTGTACCTAGAATTTGTTCTCTGGGGAAAGCTTCTATCCTGTTTATAACCAAGTGCATTACATTTGTAACTCACATTAAATCATCTGTGTCTTATCTATTGCCAAATGTGTTAATAATAAAGACTCTGTTTTTATGTGCTGGGTGAGAGGACTCAAAAGTCATACCTGGAAATTATGATCTGTAGTTCAAATAGATTTCCGGGGCATATTAGAATTTGAAGGTGGACAGCACTTTCTTAGTATCAAAGCAACCAAAGCCTCAGAACCCCAAATTTTCATTCCAGGACCAGGGTGGTAAATAACAAGAATAAGGAAACACCAAGGATTTCTGTTCTAAGGAGGGTGAGTTTCTGGATTCCATGCTCATTAATGTCCTCCTTCCTTTGAGATAGCTGCTCAGGGATCTAAGATAGGCCACTTTCTCTTCCATACTATGCAGCTGTCAGACTCAAACGAAGCTGCTGGGAGAATCTGTTCAGTCTCAGCAGAGAACGTTCAGATGTTAGTGTGCCCAGTGGTTGCAGTATCTGATGAGAGAGTTCCCTCTCCACAGACAGAACTCTCTTTGTTATGGACGTGACGCTTTTATCCTATCACAGGGGCAGTAATTTGACCTGTCCTGGACTCTGGTCTCATAGGTGTACATTAGAAGCAAAATTTGGCTCCCACCCACCAGAGTTTAATCTGCATCAGAGTCCAGTGCAAGGTTGCTAAGGCCACTCTCTGTCTCTAATTTTTACAGTTGAGGGGAGGGCTCAAGTGAATGAAGAAATGATGTGAGGAGGACAAGTATGTCTTGGTCCACTCTTCTTCCTTCTTACCCTCTCTTATTTCCAGCATTCATATTTGCTTCTGGCAGCCATAGCCTTCATGCTGTAGGCTCATTTGGTGGTGCTCTTTGCTGTATTAAGTTAGTAAGATTCACGTAAGAGGCGGTTGGGGTCAGTATTGTGGACTAACCCCAGCATATACTCAACTCTTAGGGGAGCAGCTTTGTGGTACGAGCTGGGTTGCCCTCTAATGCATCCTTTTCTTCCTGTGCCCACAGGTCCCCTTAGAGAATAATGGCTCCTGGAAATGGCTCTTTTGTGACTGAATTCATTCTAGTGGGGTTAACAGATCAGCCTGACCTCCAACTGCCCCTCTTCTTCCTGTTTCTAGTAACGTACGTGGTCACCATGTTGGGAAATTTGGGTTTGGTAGCTCTAATTGGGCTGAATTCACACCTGCACACCCCCATGTACTTCTTCCTCTTTAACTTGTCCTGCATAGACCTCTGCTATTCTTCTGTGTTTACACCTAAAATGCTGATGAACTTCCTATCAGAGAAGAACTTCATCTCCTACAGGGAGTGTATGACGCAGTTTTTCTTTTTTTGTTTTTTTGGTATTTCTGAATGCTATGTGCTGGTGTCAATGGCCTATGATCGCTATGTGGCCATCTGTAACCCACTTTTGTATAACATTGCCATGTCCCCAAGAGTGTGTTGTACTCTTATGCTTGGATCATACTTGATGGCCTTCTCTGGAGCCATGGCCCACACTGGATGCATGCTGAGACTGACCTTCTGTGATGCAAACTCCATCAACCACTATTTCTGTGACCTCCTTCCCATGCTCCAGCTCTCTTGCACCAGCACCTATGTCAACGAGATGATGGTTTTCATTGTGGGAGGCATCAATGTCATCATGCCTAGCCTCACCATCTTTATTTCTTATGGCTGCATCCTTTCCAACATCTTTCGAATGAGCTCCAAGGAAGGCAGGTCCAAAGCCTTCAGCACTTGCAGTTCCCACATAATTGCTGTTTCTCTATTCTTTGGATCAGGTGCATATATGTACCTCAATCCCTCTTCTGCTGGGGCTATGGATGAGGGAAAAATCTCTTCTCTCTTTTATACCAATGTGGTTCCCATGATGAACCCCTTAATCTACAGTTTTAGGAACAAAGATGTTACATTTGCCCTGAGAAAAACTCTGAGTAGGAGAAAGTTTTAATCAGAAACACGGTTTCTTGGTGCATACCATTACAGGGCAGGGAGTCTCTGTATTTTATTACAATAGTTTATTATATAATAGTATTTTCATTTGAATCTTATGATGATGATGGTTAGTAGAGGATTCTCTCAGTTATGTTTCAATTTTTAAATATAGGTTTTCTTTTTTCCCCATCATTTGAACATTCTCCCCTGTTTCATCATTTTCCCCCCTATTTATGACAAAGTTAAGGAATTTTAAAAGTTTTTCCATTGTCATTATGGACTTTCTTTTTTTAGCTCTGGAAAAGATGAATGCTTTTTCAAATAATCTAGTAAAGTAAAACTAGGATGACCATGTGTTGTTGGTGGCCTTGTGGTTCTTTTCTTTAACTTGCAACTTACATGGATCAGACAACCTTTTTAAATCTTATCTTTCCATTCTCCACTGGGCAGCATTTTGTCTCCTTTGAATGCCAATGTTTTACAGAAATACAAAGTTCCTCAAGGCCTACCATATAAATCTACTTTGTCCTTGTAAATACAATGAATTAAGCTTCTTTTGGAATAAATTTTGTGTTTACTTTTGTGCATTAAAAATAACTCATGGCAGACCATCAAAATACATTTAGTGCATGGAGTCACATAGTTTCTTTATGAAAAAGCCTGTAATACACTAATAGCCCTCTGATTTTAAGTCTATCTTTCTTTCTGATTTACTTCCTTTTTACTTCATTTCATATTTTTCTTCACTAAGCATGACATATTCCATGAGCAAACATTACTTTTGGGAAACTGAGTATGCTTTGTTTTTAGATTATATATAAACTTCTCTCAGGCTGTATGTTGGCATTTATTTTTTGTTCTTGGTAGTAGTTTGATCACTATTTTCATTGTAAAAGAAGAGGTCTGTTAAGCTAAAATAGTTGAACAATAATTGGCTCAAGTAGGGAGCTCACATTTTTACAAAACTGAAAAAAATATAACGTAAAATGTTTTCAGGTGCTTGCAACTCACAAAACAGGGCATAGGAGAGAAAGGAGTCCAGCAACATGCCATTAGGCCAGGACCCAAAGAGACACACAGCCAATGCATCAGAGGTGCCTCTGTAGGGACGGCCAATGAGGATTTAGACATGGCATTTCAATTTGAATTTGTATCTGTTCTGTTGAGTACTGTCATTATCCTTTGCTGTCATCAAAATTTTATAAAACTTGTAGTACACAATGGCCACACATTACAAATATTTATGGAGTTAATATGAAAAACCCATGACCACGTTTGTGGAGAAGCAGAAGAGAAAGAAGAATAATTTAGCAGGAAACAGGGCGAGTGGTAACTGAAAATATTTAAGGATGAATTTAGAAAGCAAAAAGATGGAACATTACAGGTCCTGCCTATGGCACTCTTCTCTACATTGGAAGACTCTACAGTGATCACAGGTTTTCCCGAGCAGGATGAAGATGTAAGACATTTGATGTTAAAGAAGGGTAAACTCAGAGAGCTGGAGGACCTGGAAAGAACTAAATCACCACTGTTCTTATTGGTTTTCATTTGCTCTTCTCATATGGATTTTAAGGTTCTAACATCTCACATTGCATTTGAGAGATAAAAGATAATTTGAAAGAAACATTTGGTGAATAAACTAAATCATAACAATTTCTTTTTCTAGAACAGGATGTTGTATTATTTTCTCTTTGAGAAAACAGTCAAAAAGATGATGGATGTTAAAATTTTTAATCCTTGATCAAGTAACAATTTAAACATTTTGGTAACTGTAATCATATTTGCTATTTTACCATATTTCTAATCGCCAGTATTTAGAAGTTGTGAAATTTAGCATACATGGTTTATTTGTTTGTTTGTTTTTAGATATTTGGCTTCTCAAAATCCTTGAGTTATGGTTTGAAATGACCACTGATATCCCAACTACCAGCCCCAATATCAAGTTGCCTGATTTTCACTAAAAAATTTCTATTATTATAAGCAGCGCCTGTGGCTCAATGAGTAGGGCACCAGCCACATATACCGAGGGTGCCGGTTCGAACCCGGCCATGGCCAAACTGCAACAAAGAAAAATGTAGCCGGGCATTGTGGTGGGGGCCTGTGGTCCCAGCTGCTCGGGAGGCTGAGGCAGGAGAATTGGCTGGGCCCTGGAGCTGGAGATTTTTGTGGGCTTTGAAGCCATGGCACTCTACCAAGGGCGACAAATTGAGACTCTGTCTCTTAAAAAAAAAAAAAAATTCTATTATTGTGAAGTAGTTGATCTTAGTTGAAGTTTTCCTTTGAATTTTCTTTTATCTTTTGATACAATTATTTATTATTTAACAAAAAGTGTTTCTAATAGACAAACAAGATTTTTGCTATTTGAAATATTTTGTGGACAATGTACAGGCACATTCACTTGGTTGTGTATTTGTCACTATTTGAGGTGGTTGAAAGTACAGACTAAACCAGATCACTCATCTTTCGTTTGACAAGTCCCAAAATACAAATAAAATCTAATTCAATTTCAGAAAAGGAACACTTTCTTTAAATTAGATTTTATTCTTTAAAATTGTATTGGTAAAAATAATTTAAAAAGACATAAGGACATATTGTGGAAGTTAAGAGTGGAAAATTTGGGGAATGCAACTTAGCTGATGACTTTGAGTTTGCATCTTTTAGCTTTATGCCTTTATTTTGTTTTCTTTTAAAGGCAGAGATATCACACATCCACACCCCTGCATACAAAGAAAGGGTGCCAAAAAATATACACACATTTTAAGAATGGAAAGAACTGTTTTAAAATTGTAATACTTAATTCATGTTTGACACCTGCAATTACAAGAGGTGCTCAAATGTGGCTTGTATTCAATTCATCTTTTGTTACCAGCATATACTGAAAGTCATTATTGAATATACACATATGCACATAATATATCTCAATGAGTTACCTTCTGTAGTATTTTTAAAATGTGAAAAACATGAAGAAGTTATGGGAGAAAGTATAATTCTATTCAGGTTGTCACAGTGTGAAAATTAAACGGGCATGCCATGGAATTTTCTTGTGCCCATGTTGTAGGAAGATGATGTTTCTAAGTCAGCACGAAATCTTGAAATTTCTGTGTGGTAACCGACAATGGCTCTCATAGTCACAGGTCAGAAAGAAGTTTGCTGATGACATACTGAATTTGTTTAATATGATCTTTCTCTAAGCTAGCTCAGGATTGGGTTTGGAATGAGCAGGATCAGGGTGCACTCTGATTAAAGGCTGATGAAAACCACAAGGAAATGGGGTGTGAGTTCTACATCTCTTTATTCCCTCAAATTCCAGTATTGATTGAAGCCCAATTTGCACTCTTCTTTAACCCAACCTCCTACTCTACACACACGCACACACAGAGATACACACAGACACACTTCCCAAGCATTTTGTATTGCTAAGTGCCTAGCAACCTGTTACAACATGCTATATATCACTGGCATATATAAAGCATGGCAAAAAGGAAAAGATAAAGGTAGATGTTCATAATACGATGTAGCAACATTCTACATGAAGATAGTTCCTAAAACAATCTTAAATAATTAAGACTACTCTATAAATTGATTTATTAGCATCATATCCATATTGGCAATGAAAAGATATTTTCCATAAGTCTGATACAGTTTGTTTCTCTCTACCATTGGGACACTTTATTGTTAATTTATCTGAACATCAGATGAAGTAATTTATATTCAGGGTCCATGTAATATAAATATGTACCCTCAAATGTTAAAATCTCCTGCAGTGTGAGGAAGTTTTTCACCTGAGACAGAGCCTTATAGCTTCCTCAGTGAGAGATAGGCTGTTGGAATCACCTAAGGCTCTCCTTGACATAATGATGAATTAACCTCCTGTGTATGTCAGTATAGAGACATGTGCAGGTGTTATGATCACTCTTAGGAGGGGCCTGTCCGTAGCATTGTCCTGTCCGTCAATCTGTGTTGCTCAGGGAAGAACTGGAAGGCAAATAGGTGAAAGAATTCTACTTCCCATTTCAGAGTTGAAGAGTCTGGGGCCCAGACATGTTCACGACTTAATCCAAATCACTACTTATAAGTGGCATAGCTGGGCCTGGGACTTGGGTGTTTTGATTCTAAATCTATCAGATATATATTTTTTAAGTTATACAAAATTTCCCTGCTTGTAAAAAGTCAATGAACCATGAACAATATGAAAGATATCAAGAAAATGAAAATTAGCTTTTTAAAAAGATAAAGTTGACAAACCTTTAACTAGACTAAAAAACAAATAGAGGATACCCAAAGAAGAGCTCTTGTACTGGTTAGCCAAGTTGCAAATGCAAAGAAAGAAATTCTTGAAGAAAATTAAGAGTGCTACTTCAGGGAACCCATGAATGATAAGAAAGCAAAACAGCCTTATTCTTTTCCACCCACTCCCCAAAGTTGTGGTTTGGGGTTTACTCTTGCTATGAATGTTTGTTCACTTTAAACCTCAAGTTAAAATTTGATAACCGGTGTTAGGGATGGGACACACTGGGAAGTGTTTAGGTCATGGGAGCAGATCCCTCATGAATAGATTACTGCCTCCCTGTGGGGGTGAGTAAGTCAATTTTGACATGCCTTGTTCACCAAACTTAATTATTTACAGCTTCTGATTTAAATAGAGAGACTTGCTTTTACTTGAACACTGAAAGGCCATTGTAGAGTCATTAATTGGACTCAACATTAATTTGAATGTTGTTTTGTGCCAGGAAGTAGAGAGGCCCAAGGAAGAGGGAGCACTATGTTGGAACAACTGGCAGGTGGAGAGGTCAGAACATAGCATATTTGTCTAATGGTTCACTGTCTTGTACGGGCATGGTTAATGGTGCTCCCAAAGAATTACATTAGTAACACCAAGGATGACTGATTAGAGATCACCATAACAGATATAATAATAATGAAAATGTTTGAAATATTATGAGAATTACCAAAATGTGACAAGAGACATAAAATAAGCACTTGCTGTTGGAAAATTGGCATGGATAGACTTGCCTA